CGGCTCAAAGGTAAGAAAACTCCCCATTTTGCGATTATACCTTTATATACAGAACAATGAGGCAGCATAAGGGCATAAAATTCCCTGCCTTAGAGCGGCATTGTAGAAAGAGCCACTGTCTTTCCCCTCAGGATTAAACCCACCCTTTCAGACTACACCTCAGCATTAGGACTTATTTCTGACTCATTTCTTAAAAAAAGGCATTTGTAACACAGATCTCTAAAATGCTTTTAACGTTCACGTGGGAGAGTTGCACTTCCTTATCTTTATGAATTCCAGACAGTGTCCAAAATTAATGTTTTGACTTCCTGGCTAAAAGGACTGGTAGATGAGAAAATCCACTGGTGGAAAATAGATTTTTTTTAACGGCCAAAATAATATATTGCTTTTTTGTGCCACATACACATTTGTTTATAAATAAATAATGTTAGGTATTATGTTGAATACAATTGTAAAGATGCGGTCGGAGCAATATTCTTTTTGATATATTTAACAACTCCTCACTAGTCTCAGCATGTGAATAAACCATTTTTTTATTATTTTATCTTCATAAGCAGGGTCTGAAATTAATACCAGCCAAGCGACCAATGCAGGTAGATTTTTTTGTTGGCTGAGCTACTCCAAAGTAGCTGGCTGTAATCTGGTCAATTATTGTTGTAACAACGATTGTGGTGAAGTCAACGACACTAACCTTGTTCACCTTTCTGACCTGGAAAACCTGGACCTCCATGAAAACCCTGTATCCCAGGTCGTCCTGGTAGTCCAGGATCTCCTCTGTCACCTTTGGGACCAGGCGGACCTGGAACCTGACTGTTGCCAATAGAAGCCACCAGGCAGACGATGCAGAATAGGAGACACAGCCCCATCCTCTGAATGCAGAACTGAAATCTGTTTAACATGTAGTTTAATAATTTCATCCTATTTACAAGCCCAAGTCATTATTTACAACAAGTTAATACAGATACAAGTGTAGGAAACATAATCAGAGTTATTCATTTCACAATTTAGCAATAACAGGTGCCACTTATAGGAAACGATGTATCTCCAGTGTTTTTCCACCTCATTGTAACTTAAAAAAATGGAATTTTTCTTTAAGTTTGAATAAGTACAGTACAGGCCAAAAGTTTGGACACACCTTCTCATTCAATGCGTTTTCTTTATTTTCATGACTATTTACATTGTAGATTCTCACTGAAGGCATCAAAACTATGAATGAACACATGTGGAGTTATGTACTTAACAAAAAAAGGTGAAATAACTGAAAACATGTTTTATATTCTAGTTTCTTCAAAATAGCCACCCTTTGCTCTGATTACTGCTTTGCACACTCTTGGCATTCTCTCCATGAGCTTCAAGAGGTAGTCACCTGAAATGGTTTTCCAACAGTCTTGAAGGAGTTCCCAGAGGTGTTTAGCACTTGTTGGCCCCTTTGCCTTCACTCTGCGGTCCAGCTCACCCCAAACCATCTCGATTGGGTTCAGGTCCGGTGACTGTGGAGGCCAGGTCATCTGCCGCAGCACTCCATCACTCTCCTTCTTGGTCAAATAGCCCTTACACAGCCTGGAGGTGTGTTTGGGGTCATTGTCCTGTTGAAAAATAAATGATCGTCCAACTAAACGCAAACCGGATGGGATGGCATGTCGCTGCAGGATGCTGTGGTAGCCATGCTGGTTCAGTGTGCCTTCAATTTTGAATAAATCCCCAACAGTGTCACCAGCAAAACACCCCCACACCATCACACCTCCTCCTCCATGCTTCACAGTGGGAACCAGGCATGTGGAATCCATCCGTTCACCTTTTCTGCGTCTCACAAAGACACGGCGGTTGGAACCAAAGATCTCAAATTTGGACTCATCAGACCAAAGCACAGATTTCCACTGGTCTAATGTCCATTCCTTGTGTTTCTTGGCCCAAACAAATCTCTTCTGCTTGTTGCCTCTCCTTAGCAGTGGTTTCCTAGCAGCTATTTGACCATGAAGGCCTGATTGGCGCAGTCTCCTCTTAACAGTTGTTCTAGAGATGGGTCTGCTGCTAGAACTCTGTGTGGCATTCATCTGGTCTCTGATCTGAGCTGCTGTTAACTTGCGATTTCTGAGGCTGGTGACTCGGATGAACTTATCCTCAGAAGCAGAGGTGACTCTTGGTCTTCCTTTCCTGGGTCGGTCCTCATGTGTGCCAGTTTCGTTGTAGCGCTTGATGGTTTTTGCGACTCCACTTGGGGACACATTTAAAGTTTTTGCAATTTTCCGGACTGACTGACCTTCATTTCTTAAAGTAATGATGGCCACTCGTTTTTCTTTAGTTAGCTGATTGGTTCTTGCCATAATATGAATTTTAACAGTTGTCCAATAGGGCTGTCGGCTGTGTATTAACCTGACTTCTGCACAACACAACTGATGGTCCCAACCCCATTGATAAAGCAAGAAATTCCACTAATTAACCCTGATAAGGCACACCTGTGAAGTGGAAACCATTTCAGGTGACTACCTCTTGAAGCTCATGGAGAGAATGCCAAGAGTGTGCAAAGCAGTAATCAGAGCAAAGGGTGGCTATTTTGAAGAAACTAGAATATAAAACATGTTTTCAGTTATTTCACCTTTTTTTGTTAAGTACATAACTCCACATGTGTTCATTCATAGTTTTGATGCCTTCAGTGAGAATCTACAATGTAAATAGTCATGAAAATAAAGAAAACGCATTGAATGAGAAGTTGTGTCTAAACTTTTGGCCTGTACTGTATGTCAGTGATGTTAATCTAGTAGTTAGAGACAAACAGAAACAAACTCACAGTACAAATGAAGAGTGATCTGATTGTGCTCCTTCTTTGCTGCTTCCAAACAAAGAGTGGCAAAAAAATAGTTTAGTCAAAAATATGAGACATCCAGTCCAGAGGAAATGAAAAGCATGTGAAAAATCTTTTTTTTTTTACAGGATATGACACAGAAAGGAGAACCAGAGCCTCACTGTAGGCTGAGAATTCAGAGTTTAGTGACAAAAGATTTATTTTAAAAAAACACACACACAAATTGGATTTTTGATGTTGTCGTGTCCTTTCCTGAGCCAAGCCAGTTTTAAGATGCAAAATGACCTTTATGATTTAGCCTCTTTTAAAGAAACAGGCCAGACATGCACAGAGACAGGATAACTGTGGCTCTCGTAGAGGACGACTGATTTATTGATTTAGTAGATAAACAGAGCCAAAAGGACGTTTAACAAATATTGCTGTCAGTAGAACTAGGGATGGGCAACACAAGCAAAAACACTATTCGAAAATCGTGGCAAGTATTCGACAATTTTTCGAATAATCCCCCCCCTCCCGGGCGGAACAGACTCCACGGAGGTCTGCGCGGACTCAAAGCGGACGTCCGCACACCAGTGACTGCTTGGCACGTAAACAGTGACATATTCCGAGGGAAGCCGCAGCTGTCCTTCGGCAATTCTCTTGTAAGTTGGCCTGTCCTTCACCGTCCGTGTCATTTGACGGTTAATGGCCTCTTCATTTGCGAGGGCAAGGAGGGCGCGCAATTCCTTGTCTCCCCAGTTGCTCATCTTTACAGTGTCTGTCAGGTTTGCGTTTCCCTCTTGCTACTAGCTGCTCATTCCTGCTATCAGCTGTTTCCTGTTTATCCACCACCAGTGGGTCGCATGTGCGGTGTCATCAACAGCTCCTCCCACAAGTCATCAACAGCCCCTCCCGTGGCGGAAGGGCACCTCGTTCTTTTTAAACCAAAAAGGTTCCATCAATATGCCTACCCTACGAGGCGGAAAATTGAGCACCTCGGATCAACTTGCCAATCTGGCTCTGTGTGTCTAAATGCTTGCAGCTTGCTGACAAAACGGCCCAACATTCGTGGAAAATCTGGCAGGGCTACAATCTAGTCACACAGAAGGTTTTGTCCTAGTCTAGTATTTTTCTGAATCATGAAAAAGTATATTTAGTGTTTTCAAAAATACAAAGTTTGTACTCTAAAGTAAAAAAATTAAAAGTAATTGAATTATATATTTCAAATACAAGAAACAGGAATACTGCTAATCTTTGATCACTGTTTTGCATGGAGGTTCCATACAGGAAGTTAAGGTAATGTCATTGTGCATCTGAAAATCGTAGGTTCACTTTGAGGAAAAACATTTGCTCAAAAAATTCAAATCAGGTTTTTTTTTACCGATAGTTTGATGTTCGGTTAATTAATTGATCTCAATCATCATCTCTAATGCACAAAGTCAGTTTAATAAACAATATGAAAGAGCTAATTTTAATATAAGAGTCCTCTTAGATCAGGTTAGTATTTAAAAAACAAACATTCTTTCTGGCATTGCAGCCAGACTAAAGAGGTTAGAATAGTTCTCACACAGCAAACATAATATTCTGACCAACACTCTGTCCCTGTATTTCCAATGTGTATGCCAGCTGTGTGGATGAATAAATGAATATCAAGCAAAACCCTTCACACACAGCATGTAAGCAAATGGGTGTCAAATGTCCACATTAACATAGGGCTGCACAATTATGGCCAAAATGATAATCAAGATTATTTCTCACAATTATTTATTGTTTTTAGGGACAAAATATTTTTATTGTACTTTAATATTTAAATAATACAGCACTGCTGCCACTTAATGATGTGCTATATTCCTGCTAATGTACTAATTTGCATCAGAATAAGACTTAAAATAAGATTCTTCTTAACCTGAATTCAGTGCATCTCCTATGGATGCATATCTGCAGCGTCACTGTGATGGATGTCTGAGATGACGCTAGATAAGGACCGCTGCACCAGTGTCTAAATGACAAAAAGTCATTCGCTCTAGCAGATACATGAAATCAGCAACGCTATATATTTTTCTACATTTCCTCCGCTCTACACACCTAGAATAAAACAGATATGTAATTAATCAGCTAATCAAAACCCAAAACAAACACTTAAAGCTAAAAGCTAAAGATAAACTTATCGGGAAAAAAAATCCATTAAAACAAGACTTGCAAGGAGCATGAGATCTTTTTATATCTGACAAATGATGTAAGCATTCAGAGAACATTCAGGTGTCACTCTCCAGACACCGTTTTCTGACAGCATGGTGCAGCCTGTATCTTGGATGGATTTGTCTGGCTGCCCTTCTTCCCATTTGGTAAACGTCAGAGGTTGGTTTTTCATATCAGAGTCAAAATTCCCCACTGCCTTTTTATTGTTTATGTTGATCCAGGCTGTTTTGTAAATGTCCCCAAAGAACTGAGTCAGTACTCTGTTCTCCTCCTCATTCTGGGGCAAAGCCAGCTCTAAGCCTTGTTGGAAGCAGAACTTGACAGCCCTGGAAAAGGCGCCTCTCTCCTTGTTGGACACAAAGTTCTTCTGACCAACTTTCCGGAAAAAGTCATAGTTTATAACTGAAAACAGAAAACAGCATGCAGAAAATTAGGAATGAAATAGCAAGTGAATACAAGTTTTAACAAACTCAGCTTTGACTCTCTGTCAATCTCCGCTCAAAAATTTTGACGCAAAATATGAAATGTTTTATGTGACAAACTAATCTTAACTCAGGTTTCACTTACTAGGTTCTCGAAGCTGTCAACATTAGTCATATGTTGACAAGTGGCCCTATATTGGGGCTTCAGAGTAGGTTTTTGACATTGAATGTGACTTGGCTTTATTTTTGTAAAGTGGGATGAAGTGGTACGTGTCCTCCATCTCATCTTCTATGTTTCAAACCATCACCGTCTAGGGTGCAGTCCTACAGCACACTGATGTTAAGAGATGCTCAGCACTTAGCTAACATGATGACATCTGAGCCAGTAAAATCACGTACAGTGAGATGCTATCGAAAACTCAGAAAAGGCTATTTAGATGACCATGTGTTTCTGTTATTTTGTCACATGTGCTCTTTAGGTAGTTATTTAATATGTTTCGTCTTCCTCTGACACACCAAACCAACATCAAAGAACTATTGGCGTCGAAGGCCAACTGATGCGTTACTGTAGGTTGCCTTTGTTTTGGCCAAAAAGTTGCACTTGAACACACCACAAAGACTACAGCCAATGGCCAACTGGCACATAGAGGAAATAACTCTATATTGACAGGACAGATTCAACATGCTGAATTAGCTGAAAAAGAGCCAACAAGGGCCCACTATTGCCAACTATGTGGGACAAAACAAGGGCAACAGACACTCACTGACGATCCAGCATTGATTGTGTTGTGTGTCAAGGTGCTTAAAATCACACTCTTTATTTGCTCAAAACAAAGCGGGAAAAAATACAATGAAATACTTGTTCTATATTTCCTATTCCAAACAAAATTATGCACTCCATTAAAAAATAAATGCCTGTCTATCCTCATTCAAATGAGATTAATGAAGTGCAGTATGGCAGAATTCCAATGAAAATATTTTGCTTATTGTTCCTTGTAAGAGCAATGCCAGTCCAAGAAAACGGTCTCTTGAACAGTTGCAAATAATCACCATCCGCATGCATTCATTTCTTGTAACTATCCCTTGTATTCATTAAAAAGGATACTTACCCAGCTCTAACTTAGAAGTGCTCTTCTTTAAGGCTTCAAGGTCTGGGATAATTGAGCCAAAGAGAGCTGGATGAAACAGATTAAGTTACCAATGTTACTATTAGTACTAAAATGATTTAAACAATTTCTAAACGGTGTGTTTAATATTCTCTAATAACTCAATCACCTTGTTTACACGGAGTATCCCCAGTTGGTCCAGTTGGTCTACCTGCTCCAGGATATCCAGTCCCACCCCTTGGTCCAATTGCACCAGGTGCTCCAACATTTCCAATGTCCCCTAGACATTAAACATCACTAAAAGTTGATAGCCTCACTCGCAGTTTAGCGTGGACACACTAGAGTGAACTTGTAAATCATCTTTACAAAAGGCAGCATGTTTTAGTATAACAATTATGCACTTGCATTTGAGAGACAAGCTATATTGTGAGTACTTTCTAAGATCAGTCTGTTTCACCTCAAACTCTGAGAGTTGACAGCGCAGTAGAGAAGCTGCTCGAAACATACAATGGTAGAGCATTAATTATTGCAGTTAAATGATCTGAAGCCTTTTCATTTTAAAAATGTATTATTAAACAGTATATGAATTGCATACTAAACACTAGGCCAGCATAATTATCCCATTATGAGCATAAGCAACTGCAGATAGTTACAGCCTGACTGGCAACCCCAGGTTTAAATCTAGGGTATGGAAGCATTTTGGGTTCAATGGAGCTGAAGGGAAAGGGGACCTGGACAAGAGCAAAACAGAGTGCAAGTCAGTCCATCTGTGTATTTAATTATGGATCATTACAAATACATTATGCTATGTTTTAAAAGTAGCAAATAGTCACACAGCGAGAAATGAGTCATGTATAGAAATCAAAAGCTTGGATGCAGCAATTAATCATTAATTGTTTCATAATCAAATCATAGCCCTCTGAATTATAATCGAATCTTGAGGTGTCTGGAGATTCCCACCCCTGCTATGGGTGAAGCTCCTCTGCCTTGCCTAAAGGGAGGTTTAATTTTAGACAGAAATAACTGGAGTCCGGTCACTATTCAGATGGAGTATTGGTAAAACAAAAGGTGCTACTGATATGTTCTGGGTTTTAAAGAGAAAGCATTTTCTGCTCTGTGTGTGTGTGTGTGTATGGGTGTCTGAGAGTGATTTAGTGGTGCACATGTGCAATCAATGAGTGAGTCAGTGGTGCAGGAGTGTTCTTGTGTGTGTGTGTGCGAGACTAACATAATAATGTGAATGAAGCTCAGACTTAAACAAACAGACTGCAGCATTTATTTTCTGTGGGTCACTAGTATTTTCTTTAGCAAAACTTGGCTGATACACAATACATTGCCAGGTAACGTTACCCACCACATTGATTTCTCTTATTAATCAGCCATTATAAAAGCCATAATACACGTATGTTCTTTACATGCCTTATGAGTCTCAGCTAACAATCACTGATTAAGGTTAAATGAACTTGAATATGGCATTAACTAGACTTGCACCTATTACAATTTTTTGGGCCGATGCCGATTTCCAATTTGCAGAGTGTTTGGATGGCTGATTCCGATTTCAGTTTTTTCAAACCACTTTACAGCACACAATATACGTCAATACGTCTCGTCAGTTTCAAGCAGCACCGTGCAGCAGTGAGAGCTCCACAGTTCAATTTAACACGGACAATTAACAACTTTCTCCTTTTCTATTTTGATGTGTGTGCGTGAATGATTAAGGTGAGAAGCCGCCCATGTTTCACTTCCTCACATCGCCCAAACCGTGAGTTGCACATGTACGTGTGTGTGCGCTGCTGATTTTACACGATGTCAGTCACACGGTGCGCCAGGAATTTAAATCGGCATATTTTAGACTGACCGGCTGGTCGCAGGTCATGACCGATCACGCGAAAACCGGCCCAGTTCCGAGCACTGCCGATAAATCGGTGCAAGTCTAGCATTAACACTATCTTTGTTGTGTTGGGACCGCTCGGCATACACTGGATGTCTTCTCCTTAGATCTTGTAGTGTTGAGCATGTGCAGTTGTGGTATGCTAACTCCGTTTTGCAGTGCACACACTGAACTACGTTGTGTTTTTGTTTTAAATTGTAAGGATCCCACAGTCTTTACGCTTTCTGTCGTTTCCTTTTGGCATGTCTGCTCTTTATTGCTCTCGCTTTTTTGTTGTCCCTCTTCCTCCATTGTTTTGCAGTCCACGCTTCACAACTATGTTACAGCTGCATAGGCTATCAAAAGTGCAAGTAACATAAGGGCGTTGTGTCCACAAAAATAACCTTCCATGTGAAACGCAGTGCACTGTATAGTTGTACTGGATTTAATGAAGCCTCGAGGCTTTTTAGTAATGGAATTACTTAAATTACTCGCTGACTTGTTTTAGCCCTATTACCTACCCACCTTTTTGACCGGGAGGTCCAGGAAAACCAGGCATCCCTGGTAGCCCCGGTATCCCTGGAAACCCTTTATATCCTTTGGGACCAGGAGGACCTGGAAGCTGACTGTAACCAATAGGAGCCATCAGGCAGAGGATCCAGAATAGGAGACACATCCTTATTGTCTATATGCAGAGCAAATTTAGATTAAATATGGTTAAGGAGTTTTCCATTCATAGGCTGCATCAGGAATATTATCTTATCATAATTTTCAACAATCAAGTCAAAGTGAGGAAAGTCAGAAGAGTTTCCAGCTTGATGTAACAGGAATGGAATTTTCTGTGCAATTATATAGAAAAGTTATTCAGAAAATGAGGTATCAATGATGTTAATCAAGCTCCAAACAACACCAACAGAAAGAAACTCACTTGTGAACGAGGAGAACTGCTGGATGTGCTGCCTCTGTGCTGCTTCCAAACAAAAATAGCTGAGAAGAAGTTCAGTCAAAAATATGTGAGAATCATACCAAGGAAATGGAAAGCAGGTGAAAAATCTTTTTATGGGATATGACACAGAAAAGAGAAGTCCCAAAACCTCCCTCTTTTTAACCAATAGTCTGAATGGTTGCCAAGGTCAGTGTTGACATATATATTTAAAACACATATCTAGGCAAACATAATTAAGTTCTTGATTGAACATTGAACATTTTAGATTGAATTTTTCCTTCCAATGTCAGTTCAAATGTATGTGCCTATAGCTTTCATTTCAGTATTGCTGTTACAGTATGGAATAATATATACAGAGTTGATTAACTTGACACAGTTTTGACTTGTAATCATATCACTGAACTCTACTGTGTGTGTGTGTGTGTGTGTGTGTGTGTGTGTGTGTGTGTGTGTGTGTGTGTGTGTGTGTGTGAGAAAGAGTGATAAAGAGCACAATGCAGTGAATCATCATCATCATTCCCATGATGATAATGTTTTCAAAGGAATCTACTGGATATAACCATCTTTGTGCTGGTAGTGGTCACAGATGTATCATATTAAAGGGGAACACCACCTGAATTAAGAATTTTAATATATTATTTCTATGGCCAAGAAAAGCTCAGTCAATATTTGTGAATATGAGCTGCTGTCTGTAAAAGCCAGAAACCAGAGAAGTAAGTCTTAAAACTTGTGATGTCATAGGGTATAAAGTCTGGAGCTGCTCTATAGACAATGAATGGGAGCCTGATTTTGTTGTCCCAGAGAATGCTTGTTTCCCGTTTGTATTCCTGAATGAGCTTTGTTCTATTGTAGTGTTCTCAGCTCTGAAACAAAATGTACCCATTTTGCCAATCTTGTTAAAATGCAAATAATTGAATATTGAATGAATGAAATGAGACTATTTCATTGCCATACACTTTATTGTGACACACTGAATGCCTTCAGAATTCACCATTGTTTCTATACATATATCATATTGTTGCTTTAACTCCTTTATATAGGAATACATCTTTGCAGCAGAAATAATGCAATGCTAATGATGCAATTATACATGTCTGTAGTAGTGACAAGGATCTGAGATAATCGTTTTGGGGAAGTTCAACATGTGAAAGTTATTTGTAGGAGCAATTGTTTCTCATCTTGTATACAAGAACTTTCTATATCTGACAAATGATGTAAGCATTCAGAGAGCATTCAGGTGTCACTTTCCAGACACCGTTTTCTGACAGCATAGTGCAGCCTGTATCCTGGATGGATTTATGTGGCTGCCCTTCTCCCCATTTGGTAAAGGCCAGATGTTGGTTTTTCATATCAGCCTCAAAATTCCCCACTGCTTTATTGCTGACGTTGATCCAGGCGTTCTCGTTACTTTCCACAAACACTTGAGTCAGTATGTTGTTCTCCTCCTCGTTCTGGGGTAAAGCCAGCTCTAAGTCTCGTTGGGAGCAGAAGTCAACGGCCCTGGAGAACGAGCCCATCTCCTTGTTGGACACAAAGTATTTCTGACCAAAACTGCGGACAAAGTCGTAGTTTATAGCTGAAAATAAAGAGAACAACATGCAACACATCAGGAATAAATGAAGCAGTGATAACACACTTTCTAAACTCAAAACTGTGTTGTCATGTTGGCCCTCGAGCTCTGCTCAGATGTCTTTGCGAAATGCATTTATTTTACATGTTTGTTGCTCTGACATTAAAATATCAGACTCTCTTACACAGGTGAAAAACAGTCTCCACAATAATGATGCAGTTTGTATGTAAATACATTAAGACTGAGGAAATATTGCAGCATTTCACTAAAAATATTTCTCATTGCTCCTTTCTCAGACAACATCCTCCCTGAATAAAAGATACATTTAAAACAAATATACTGAGGCAATATTAAAAGCACAACATTAGCATGAACAAAACTTATTTCAACAAGAAATCAATAGGGTTGTAGTCTCCTGGTCGACTAGTCGATTTTTTGGTTGATGTGCTCTCATCCGACCAAATTCTCATTAGTCAAATAATCGCCGTGTTACTTTCATGAGCAGAAAAGTGCTACATGGGGCTTTGGTAGTGTAGGCGCCCCATGTACAGAGGCAATGCCTCGCTGCAGCGGTCGCAGGTTCGACTCCGGCTTGCAACCATTTGCTGCATGTCACCCCCCGCTCTCTCTCTCTCTCACCCCATTTCACTCTGTCCTGTACATTAAAGACAAAAGCCAAAAAAATAATCCTTAAAAAAAAAGAAAAGTGCTACATCAACAACTTTCCAGGATGAATCCATTATTTCCTGCGGCGGGGAGAGGCTAAGTTACCTGTGAAAATGGGGAAAGCTGGACTCGCCCACCCTCACGCTCAGCATCGTGGTGACGCAGACGTCCTGTCTGTTTCTGTAAGCTGAAACCATTTCCCTCAGTGGAAATGAAGCTTGTATTTACTTGTACTTAAGACAGAAGACAGTTGTTTTGTCGGTGAATGTTGTGAGCTGTAATGGAGCCAAATTATGTACCGTTACCTTTGTTAAATGTTGCTGTTGTCCCTGGCTTTATATGAGAACAGGAAAAGATCGCTAGACGCTAGGCTAGTTTATACAATGTAAAATGCCATAAACTTGTGCTAATAACATTAGCATGTTGTATTGTTGGGGGAAATGTGTCCAGATAAAGACAAGTGTTTGTCTGTCAGTTCTACGATATATAGTGAAGCCAATTTGTGTACTTGTGTTTGAAATTGTCTCTATTAAGCCATGTTTAATGTGAGTTTTGAATCAACTATATAAATAAAGTTCGATTTGAACTAAACTTTACAGCACTTAACACAGTCCTCCACCGCCGACTAGTGTTTTGGAGGTGTAACTACAGAGTAACAGACACACCACCACAGAAGTAAAAATAACGTGCAGATTTTTTTTTGCCCACGACGATTAGTTGAAGATTATGTGCGACTTTAGTCGACCAAGATTTTCTTTGGTTGACTACAGCCCTAGACGTCAAACAAAGCAGTGTCTCTTGAACAATTATATCTAATCTCTTTCCACATGTTCTCATTCCTTGTAACACTCCCTTGTAATGATTGAATAGGATACTTACTCAGCTTGACCTTCGCAAGGCTCTTATTTAAGGTTTCAAGGTCCTCCATAATAGGGCCAAAGATATCTGAATGAAACAGATTAAGTTCAGTTACCAAACGGGTAGTAAGTTAGATCTGAGTCCACACTGTCAGATGTGCACCTTCTACAAATGAAAAGTTTCATCTTCACTTCTTGCACAAGTTAATTTGTCTTTTTTTTCCTTCTCTGAATACGCTGAATGTTGAGTAAACCAGAATTGGCTCAATTTTCACTCTTTTCTCACATGTATGCACCGAGACCAAAGTGTCTCAGACTAAATGTAGTTTGAATTATTAATTGACTAAATAAACAAAATTACAAAAAAAAAACATAGACAAATTATTCATCAATAAAAGTAAGCATTAGTTAAAACCAAGTGGCAACATCCAAGGCTTAAAAATAAAGCCAATGCAGATGTGCCAAAATCTGCAGTTCCTTGACTGGCCACTTGAGGCTGATTCCAAAGCAGGGTAAATCCCCACAGACTCACGTGTTAAAATGCTCAACTGTACAGCAGTAATAAACATGTTAACAGCCTGGTTCAAAAAACGGTTTTGGAAGTTATGCATATTTTAGGGCAGGGCCACTCGACTAACAGGCTGTCGGCAAGGTGTTGCTACAGTATATGAGACCACAAGTTTTAGTCCCAGTACAGGTTAAACTCCAAAAATACTGGACAGGTCAGTTGCATCTTTCATTAGACTCTCTGTGCATGGACATCACCCACATCTTTCCAATTTCATGCCCAGTTTGTACCACAAGCTTTCTGATAAACATCTGAAATCTCAAGCCTAGATTATCCTGATTACATTACCAGTTATTTTCTCAGACATGAAAGTGTTGTCACAGGTTGTGTTGTTCTTATCTTGATGAGTACACTGATCCTGCTGAGTGAAATCGACCCTTTAAATTGCAGTGTGTGTAAATCTTAGAAATCATGGGCTCAGAGTTTAAAAGAGTTGAAAAAATATCACTCACAGCCTCAACAAAAATAAATACCTTAGAAAAAAAAAAGTTAGTTAGAGTTAGTATGATACTGAACTTGGACGCGGTGTATAAGTGTATCTATTGACATCTCCTAAACAATGAGTGAGTCTGTGTGTATTGAGATTTCTTTCTGTATCAGTGAAGACTGAACCTTGCTCAGGTTGTACAACTGCTGCATCCTACATTTTATTAAATGACAAACAGCAGTTACTCAGTTGGTGAAAATAATTTGATACAATAAACAGTATATATGCTCTTTAAAATCTAGAAAATATGAAACCTCGTCCACAGAATGCAGCAGGTCCACGTGGTCCAGGATATCCAGGATATCCAGTTATTCCAGCAAGTCCACGTGGTCCAGGCGGTCCAGGCGGTCCAGCCGGGCCAGCCAGGCCAGCCGGGCCAGGTGGGCCAGGTGGGCCAGGAACTCCTGTTGGGAAGAGCAGGGAAGGTATGGAGCTAGAACAGTGACATTAAGTTTTGGCATTGAAAACAAAACTTGAACTGAAAAAGGAAACACTCAGCATCGGTGAAACTTGATATATGGTATCTCAAGGACGCCTACAGGGAATTTCTTCATATTTGGTACAGAGGTCCACTGAGACTCA